GAGTAAGATTCTTGTGTCATATCTACAGGCCATATCTGGTCCCGTTTCACTTTGATTACCCTGTCAAACAAGTCAGCCTTCGCCCCTGGGCACGACTATGGTGTAGTGGTAAGGCGCTTTACAATCGCACACTGAAGACATGAATCCCATTCCCATGTGGGTAGAATTAATCTCAAGTATCTCCATCTTTTTAAGTACTGACAGATGTACGTTGTATCCCTCTCAGCCCGGTTTGGTCGGTACAGGCAGGGTTGAACTCCTTCTCCTAAATTATCTCAAATGTGTCGATGAAGGCGTAAAAACACCTACATTAATAAAGATAAAAGCGGCAAAAGTCTACTTGAGCAATCCATTCAGAATGTTCTTGATCTGCTACGCTATGGAGCGGAGACCACGGATGAGCGCAGCAGATCAAGAACATTCCGAATGGATGGCTCAAGTACTCTCTCTCTCTCTCTCTCTCTCTCTCTCTCTATCTCTCTCTCTATCTATCTATCTATCTCTGTCTCTCTCTCTATCTCTCTACCTATCTCTATCTAACACCTAAAGGCTTCGGTACTCACATGACCTTACTGTGTTGCAAGTGCCGTAAAACCCTTACTAAAACTTTTTTTTAAACATGTTTTCTACCTCAAGGTGCGCGGGTGGCGCAGTAGGCAGCCAATGTCTCGGCCTCGCCGCCAGTTGCTCCGATCTCTTTCTTCACGGCTACGATCCTCGGATACGTCACGTCGTGGAGATAGAGCCCGAACAATCGCCCGCCCCGATACCCACAGTCTGCGTAAGTTCCGACGACCGAATCTCAACCCTGATCGCGACCTTCAACAACAGTAACGGCGACGTTTTCAACCTCTCGTGGGACAGCTACGTGTACGGGTTTGAGATGGACGTCCAGAGATACATCAACGGCTTCTGGACGGGGCTGGAGCAGCTGCACTATCTCACCAGTGTGGACGACTACTCGCTCAGAATCGTTTTCTGTTTCGCCGGTTTGTCGGGCGTTTCGCAAAAGTTCATAATCGAATACGACGAGTTCACCGTGATGGATGGTTCCGACGATTATCGAGTATTTTATTCGACTAGTTCGAGTTTCTCTATTCCTTCGAGTGCCTCGAATATCGTGTCTCTGGAAGATTGTGTGATGGATTTGGACGGCGTTCAGTTCTCGACCCCGGACAAAGACAATGACGAGGACGATGACCATAACTGTGCACAAACTGCTCAGAGCGGCTGGTGGTTTGTCGATTGTTGGTTTCTACAGGGGGTCACGTGCGCTCCATTTGCCAAAAATGGAAGTTTGTTTGGTTATCACTTGCAGAAAGAGAAGTATATTGATATGGAAGGGATGACCGAGATGTTTGGGGAGTTTCTGGGCGTGAGGGTATATTTAACCCAAACGAGAGATTGACAAAAAGATGGCGCATCATTCAAAGTGTTCACATTTAAAGTCTATACTTTGAGCTTGAGTTAAATAGTATTGTCTGATGGCTTTGATCAGGATCTCAGCCAGTTTGAACGAAGTGTGTTTACTCTAATAAACCAGATAGATCGCGAAACTGTATCGATTTGGCGCCCCATTGCATTACTATGGGATAATAAAGAGGCGAAACCTTCTATTCAACTTTCATCTCCGATAGGACCAAGCCAAATGGGAAACTTCGTGTAAAGTGCCTTTCCCAAGCACACAATATCCAACCGAGCTGAGCCTCGAAATTTCGAGCCCTAAGATCGCGATTATAAATCTGGTAGCAAGATCACTTGATTACCGACGCCACCTTCTTACTGTCAGTAACTTACACGGCTCAGTTATGAAATAAATCGTACAAAAATCTAGTGAACAAAACGAAAAGAAGAGAGAGAAACGGATATATACTCAGAGAGCATTTACCATCACCTGCAAAAAGTGCGACACGACATAACAAAAGATTTCCTTGAGAAATATAATATGTCACGACGCGGTTAAATCAGACGCTCGTCAGTTCTTAAGCACATAGAGTTATTGGTTTTTAGTTTTCGTTTTAGTAGTTTTAGTAGAGGTTTTACGGCGCTTGCAACTGCATAAGGTCATATGAGCACCAGCAGATTAGAGGTGTTACAAGAGAGTAACAAACATAAAAAAGAAGAAATGGAGATAAGGATTATATATGTTCGATGGGAAAGAAGGAGCAAACCACACCAGAGCACCCGCCAACCACCCAGAGCTATTGGTGTCAACTTAAAGCCTGTTTATTTGTATTGTTTTCAATGAAAACAAAAACGTATTTATTATTTTTTTAATAGAAATTGAGATCTTTGGGAGTGAAGGAGGTGGGGGTCGCCTGGTGTCAGGGGTAGAGTTAGTAAGGAAATGGCCGCCAAGGTTTGGTGAATTCCAAAGACTGAGTATTCAAAGAAACAGCAAATTTTCTTTGTTCGTGCCCTTAATCAACAGTTGTAGGTAAAATTGGTCAGGAAAGTGTTGGGTTTCTTTGATTTCATTATTTTGACGAGCGCCTGATTT